CCCCAAAACCCCAAAACCCCAAAACCCCAAAACCCCTATTAATTCTCCCAGAATTGTGATAATTATAAAAAATATGGAGTCAACTTCACATTTGGAAAGCCCTGGAGTGAATCTCTCTGGGATTACTGATCGAAGGCAAATGCACTTTTGAGACCATATCAAGAACTTCTTGACCAATCTCTTCACAGAGACTGGGAAAGGACTTGCCATGTCTCAATGAAGAATGACTGAGGAAATGAGATCCATGATTACGAAGCGGTTCGAAAATGTTAATGCGAAGACATTTCCAGGTGCGCAGCCCATTTCCATGCAGAGAGATCATCTCTCAGACACAATGGCTGGGTCCAGGTATCTCTGCTGTGAGAAAACTGATGGAGTCAGGTTTCTCTGCGTGATAACACAGACCAGATCCTTGCTTATTGATAGAAATTACAACATCTTTGATGTTAAAATGGAAAGACTCAACTTGGATGGGTTCAAGTTTGAGTTTATCCATGTCTTTGATGGGGAACTCATCAAAGACCGTGGTGAGGACTTCACCAAGTTCTTTATATTTGACGCCCTTGTGGTCAATGGCAAGAATATAATGAATCTCACCTTTGAGAACAGGCTCCGCACAGTAAAGAACAAAGTTATTAAGAAATTAAGGATTCAGGAATATTGAGAAATCACTTGTGATAGAGCAGACAATTATGATGATGATGAGGATGAATTTGACAAACTAGGCGACATCAGGGACGACTCTAATGGCATTATTAAGATATACCTCAAGGACTTCTTTTTGGATATCCAGACTAAGGATCTGTGGGAAAAAGTCATTCCAAAGCTAGACCATGGGAATGACGGAATAATTTACACTATGAATGATTGTCCTTATTATCCTGGAACTTGTTCACAGATCATTAAGTGGAAGCCTGCTTTCCTGAATAGTGTTGACTTCAACCTGAAGTTGATAACCTCTTATAATGACAATGAGTACATCTGGGGACTGTACGCCAGAACCTATGAACAGCCAGAGTTCCTGTATGACTGAATATTCTTTGAAAATGCAGAGGAAAATGAGAAGTGGAGGAAGACGATTGCCCAGATGTCCAATCATTCAGAGGAAAAGCCTGTCATTGTGGAATGAGCGTTCAACTCAGACCTTGATTATGACAATTTGATTAGGTTTAATAAGTACAAAAGAATGAGTATGAAGTCCTCCTATCCTAGGGAAGACCATCTTAAGAGGGACTTTAAATTCGATTCAGAGGTATCCTTTACAGAAAAGAAGCAGCTCAAAGGAGGTTGGATCATTGAAAGACAAAGGACAGATAAGGAGACTCCTAATAGCTTGAGAGTTGCTATTAACATTAAAGCTACTATTATGGATCCGGTTTCAGTTGATGATATTATCAATTGTCCAGAAATAAGAGCTAAATATTGCCCTGCTGGTATGAAGAGGTCTGCTCAGGCTCCTCCTCAGTCAGTGGCTAAGAGGCAGAAGACGGAGTAGATTCAATTTAAAATTAGCCTAAAGGGGTTTTGGGGTTTTGGGGTTTTGGGGTTTTGGGG